TAAACCAACCCTGCTTTTCTTGTTTTGAACGATGAATCATTGAATTCAGTCAGGTTGATCCTCAAACCATTCAAGTATCATTTATGCCCTCAGTTGAAACCTTAAAACCTGACTTGACTCTTACCTTTTTCAAATGTCTTGAAAGTTGTGTTTGAAAACAAATTATGTAACCCACTCCTAGGCCAATTTATTTTTGAACCGATGTGACACGTGACCTAACGGAATTATTAAGACAGACTTCGCGGATTACAAAGAGGAGATTGACGGAGGTGTTTGCTAGAGTAACTTTGAGCTTGCGTAGCAAGAGTTTCCACGGGGCTTACTGAGGAACGGGATATTATAATTGGGTGTTTGCCTGCACGGGAAATTGGGCGAGAGACAAAAAGCGAAAGAATTAAGGGGTTCTTTGCTTCCGAACCCTACAGAAACGCTTGCTACGCAGGCTAGAGTATTTTGTTACATTTTGATCTTTTCATAGAGAAATTTGTCATCTTAATTCAGTCCAAGTTTGAGTTACTTATGCCCTCTTCTTGGGATTTTGCGGAAAATTTTCACCATTTTGAGGTAGCCCGATCTGTGAATGGTTCGAAGCGAAGTAACTTTGCCAAATTGCTCTGAAACGCGGATGAAACTACAACTGAAACGCAATAATGGAACTTTCAGTTTCGATCCTCAATTGTTCCTTATATATAAAACACGTCCACTGCTAACTCACACGGCACGCCGGTACTACTGATCGCTGATAACAGCCATGTCGATGGTACTTCTCATCCTAGCTAGCTCGATGTTCGTCTTCTCTCTTAGCATCCCTGGCCAGTCAGCCAGTATCCCTCAATCTTGTTTTAGTCAATCAGTGAAGGTTAGTTCTATCCCAGAGACTCATCTTTACCACAAGAAAACCAAGCCCCTGGTGATTGGACATCACGGCAATCCCTCCAAATTTCAGGAAAACACCGTGGATGGTTTCAAAAGCCTCGTCGAGCTCAAAGCCGATGGAATGGAGTTTGATACCTTCCTTACAAAGGACAAGAAGCTCGTTGTTATTCACTACGACAACACAGTGGTAAGCTTATAAAACCTGATCAATGAGAAACTCGGCGTTTTTTATATGAAAGTATAAGTTTTCTCTCGTTTGTTCGCTCAAGTGTTGGGAGGCGACGTGGCCGAGTGGCTTATGGCCTGTAGGTCCTTGGTTCAAATCTTCCTCCCTACCGCTATCTGGATTTTGTTCCCGGTATTCCCGAGTTCAACTCCTTGACCGCGATGTGTAAATACCAAACTGGTCAGCCTCCCACCTTTTTGTGTTTACTGTGTCCCCAATTAGCACAACACTGCTAAATACATTTGAAACTCGAATAACGTTATTCATTTTTTATCATTTTGTGTTTCGCATGGAACACTTTTTAAAATTCCCAGTTGATAAATTCGTGAGTTAATCCGTGAGTGTTTTTAAATCCGATGAAAATTCCCATTGAATCATTAAATCTGTGAGTAAATCCATGAGTTCGCAGGCTAAGAACGGTCTTAAAGAGACTAAATTCTCAGCAATCTGAAATTTTCGACTACCGAAAACGATTTTTGGAATCGCTTGGCATTTCCAAACCGAACTTCCGCATAGAACACTCCCAAAAAGTTTGAATATGACTTTTCGTCGAAACTCGCTGAAGATTTGAGACTAAATGCTAGGCATTTAGTCAATTTAAGACTGAAATACACTGCAATAATACCTTAAAACTTTTCTAATGAAAAACAACGTAAGCTTTCAAAACGCAAAATTTTTAATACCAGGAGCTTCTGAACTGCTGATAAAATGCACATTTTGATCGATTGCAGAGGCTCACAAAGTGCAAAACCCATTTCAAAAATGGGAGGGGCGCATGTAAGTATAATAACGTTGCATAAATCATTTATAAAAACAAGCGACAACTGTTTTAAGTTGCTCATTTGATTTTTATTTTTTTGCAGCACCTGACGAACAAGGATCACAACATTTGGGAAACTACGTATGAAGAATTACTAAAGCTTGATCTTCCTACTTCGATAAAATACGGTAAAATAAATAAATAAATAAATAAAATAAATAAAAAAAAAATAGGGTAGATGCGTTTGAGAAAAATATCTTAAATGCAGTTTCGAAAATACGTTTCGACCCGTCGACCACGGGGAGGGTGTGGGCGCGTTTCTTGAAACTCTTACTCTGCTTCAGTCAAAATTCCCCGATTTTAATGGGGGAAAATAGTTTAATCTAAACGAGTACTCAATTCCATGTCAAAGTGCGCAATTATATCAAACCAAAATTTCTGAAAAGCCATTTGGTGCCGCATAAAACTATATAACTCACATTGGTGAGTATTGCCTCGGGCTGTCAACCTTTGACAATGTCCAACTCGGCGAAACACAGATATCCGAATGAAATAGAAAAAGTAGATAGAAACAGCAAATGCCGGAAACATCAACGGCCGAAAACAGCGAAACCAAACTTCGAAATGCTAAAACAGAT